TACTAAATTAGCCCCAACATGAGTATAAAAACAATCAGGATGGAACAGCAAATCACAATGTTTACTTTTCTTGACATCCTGTTATTATTATTATTATCACATTACTATTCTCCAGAAACGTTTTCTGGTATCAACATGTGTAGCTGTTTTACTCTAACATTACAACTGTCCATTGTAAATAGTTTTACAGTCTCACATCTGGACTTATCAAGTCCAAATTTCCACTGGTCTAATGTTCATCCCTTGTGTTTCTTGGGCTTCCTCTTTTTTGTGCAACACTCTGACCATGAAGACATAATTTAAAAAATAATCTCCTCTTAACAGCTGATATTGATATGTTTTTAACCCTGGGAAGCACTGATGCAGGCTCTAATCTGAGGTGCTGTTTACTGGCTATTTCTGAAAATGATCTTCTCCTCTACAGCAAAGGGAACCCTTACTTGGGATAGTTCTCATTAGAGGTGGTTTCTTCAGTGCCTTTTCTGATGACACTTGAAGACGTTTTAAAAGCTCTTGAAATTTCTGAAGTGACAAACGTTCATGTCTTAACCGTTACAGCCTGACGGGCATACCTTGTGTCCAAATCACATCCTTCTTCTCGAAGTATTTCTTGCTGTGAGGTGTATCGCATATAAAATTAAACCTCACAACTTGACCTTGCTAACAACCCGATGGGTTGTCAACTTTTGATAGAAAAACATTTTTTTTAATTGCAAAATTGAATTCAATCATATCTAAAACCTGCATACACCTCTGCATCAAACATGTCGGCCCTCCCTGTGTTTATCAAGAGATTCCCACATTGCATGAAAGTGAGACGGCAGAGTGCAGACGGGAGTGTTGAGCAGGTGCCTCTTTCCAAAAAAATTAAGAATAAAAAGGTCTTACATTTATGGTATTCACCTGTGCTCATTTTATATCAGCTCAGGGAGTGTCTCTACTGCTGTTTTACTGCTGTCCTCAGCTCTTTGTTATATGTATGCTCTTTTATGCTGAGGGAAGGAGAGACGAGTGAAATGAAAATAATGATACACCCACTAGCGTGAGCCAATGGTGACCGGTCTGTTTGTTTTGGTCTGACATACTGATAGTCTAGTGCAACATCCACTAGTTCTAAATATAGAATACAGAACAGTTCAAGTCTGAAGAGAGTTTGCTGCCTTTTAAACTGTTTTTCTATCAGATGGTATTCATTTAATATTATATTCTTTATCCAGTACTTTCTATTTTTGATTGTCTGACTTTAAGAAGAAATTCTTTTCCCGTTGTCACTGGTAGTAAAGTGCCATGGGAAGGAATACAAGGAGAAAGGGCCGTAAACTGCAGTTGATTAACAGAAGCTGCAGTTAAAGTTTTGCACAGGTGGAGAACAATCTTACTTCAGGCCCTCAGAGTGTTTGTTACTCACTTCCCCTCATCCAGTCAGTTTGTTATTTTAATCCAGACACTAATTTACTGTATATTTATTAGAATGACAGTCCAGTTGAGTGCTCCACTAACCAAACCCCTTACAAGGTTTTAGGATTTCTAAATGAAGCCCTTAACTTCTCACAAAACTCATTCGTCAGTCTTCCCGAAAGCCTGAAAGGGCTAATGGAAAATCGGAAGCATCGTTTCTACCTCGTCAGACTCCAGAGCCATAGACTCCACCCTCTCCGGGTTGTCCAGCAGCTCCTGCAGCTCCGATTGGCTGAGGTCCTGGAGCTTCTCCATTTGATTTGCCAGGATGGCTGTCCGTCAGAAAGAACCCAGGAAATAAGAGTTAAAAACAATGTTTGGAAACAGAAAGTGAAGAGCAAGAGGCCTCATTTCTGTATTTTAATGTTACAAATCTTGAACTAGTAGAGCAATGTTGAAAAGTCAAGGCAAAAGAAACCTATAGCACCTACAGCTGCCCCCTTAACAAAATTACCATCCTGTCGGTGGTTCATGACAAACGTGGACAAAATTTGTTTCACCAACACATGTCACATGACCACTTTCAGGATGCAATACTTTCCACACCTAGCAGCTAGCTAGTATGTTAAAGTCTAAAAACACACACACTGTCGACGTGAGTGACTGTAGGCCACAAAACAAACTATTCGGACGAACAGTGAAGCAAGGAAACGGCAGGAATTGTGCTGGTACTTACACGGTGCTAGCAAACCAAATTCAGTGCGACACTGAGCGGTGGTGACATCCAACACCACCTATTTATTTCCACTGACAGGTGACGTGACACGTCCTCAGGATCTCCGACCTGCCCAGACAGAATTCGGCTCAATGAAAACAATGCGAGTCGTTTTCGACGCCCTTTGGCCGGCGAGCTAGCTAGCTACTCGGCCGACGTCCAATCTCACCTGACGGTTCCGCGTTGAGCTATCTGATGACAACAGCAGTCGGTATGATCGCAATGTCAGGCACTCAGCCACCGTCAACTTCGAGGGAAGCCCAACGATTTGGCGATCAAAAACGGAGCTCAGAATGGCGCCGCTCGGCCCTGACGATGACCGTCAAACGTCTCCGTATCCCGGTAATACTTACTGTATTAAACAGACGACAGCAGTTCGCAGAATATATTACAGAACAGAGGAAATTCGACTAAAAATAGCAAAGTTTCACTCCACACTGACAGAAACCTCCGCCATTTTTGGAAGCATCTACGGTCTGCGGGTGTGGACAACACAAAAATACTCAAAAACAACAGCGGTGGACATCGACGACTTCGTGATTTAGATTTAGAAACGTTTCAAATAATTATTGTTTTCCGACGCATTTAGTTGTAATTATTTTTAACACATCCAGTTTCGCCTATGGTGTCCCCCGTAAGGCCGGATAATGGTATGGTCCTGTGCTCAGCTGATATAAGGGAAACCCCTATGTGACAGTAATGTTCCATCCAGTGCTGCAAGTGTGTGTGTGTGTGTGTGTGTGTGTGTGTGTGTGTGTCCAAAACAGAGACAGTATAGTTTGTCATTGAAAACAAAATTTGGCACTGAAAGACAAAGCAATTGGAAATTTAAATATTTGTAAATAAGCAGCTTGTATTGTCATTGGGGGGAAAAACTGGCTCTGAAAAAAAGATCTACTGAAAAGTACAACATAGTCAAAGTATTTCAGTGTAATTGGATATGTGGATATATTCACATTAGGCTTTCATAGCTTCCTATTCTGTTTGTTAGTGGTTTTCTGGGTTTATGTAGTTTTGCCCCCCCTCCTGTTTTATTTTTTTTATTTATTATTATTATTATTATTAAGGTTGGTTGGTCTTCGTTCCCTTAGTCTCCTCCAGCCCAGTTATCCCCGCTTGTGTTTGTAATATCCCCACTTGCTTATATTCTCCCCTTTTTGTCAGGTTAGATTTATCCTTGAGTTTGAATTTGTTAGGTAGTTAGCTTGATTATTTTTCCATTGATTATTTCCACCCTGGGCTGCAAGGTGGATCGGTGGTTAGCACTGTTGCCTCGCAGCAAGAAGGTCGTCGGTTTGCGTCCCGGTGGGGGCACCAGGATCTTTCTGCGTGGAGTTTGCATGTTCTCCCCGTGCAGCGTGGGTGCTCTCCGGGTTCTCCAGCTTCCTCCCACAGTCCAAAAACATGTTGAGGTTAATTGGTGATTCTAAATTGTCCGTAGGTGTGAATGTGAGTGTGCTTGGTTGTCTGTCTCTAAGTGTAGCCCTGTGATAGACTGGTGACCTGTCCAGGGTGTCCCCTGCCTTCACCCTAAGTCAGCTGGAATAAACTCCAGCCTGTAATATACTTAGTTCTTCTAAATACTAAAAAATCAGCCCTTTGCAGGGAGCTGAAGAAAGATCAAGTATTTTGCTCTTACAGTCATCAGATTACAATATCGCTAAAAGTGACTGGACAGGTAACTTTTCTTTCACTGTTTCTCATCAGAACAGTTTCAGTCGTTCACCTCTCCTTAAAACCCTTCAGCCAGTACAGTCATTGATGCAGAACTAATTACTGGACGACAGTCCTGGTTTTTAATTCCAGTCCCAGCACAGTATAACCATTTCTTTAGACAGATGAAATTAATTTACATGCATTTTATCATCCTAACAATAAAATAAAAGTTTTTTAAAAATGCTAGCTGCTGATCTCCGTTTTTTTTCTACTTACATCATGTCACCTTGTTTGTTTCTTAGTTTACTGGATATTAAGTGATTAGCTTACAAAACACAAACTTACATAAAAAATAATATCCAGCAGAAACCGTAACCTGGAGATTTACACAGCAGGAAGAGGAGACTGATAGAAGACAGAAGAGGAGTTTGTATACTGCAGGTGCTGATGGACTGATGGAGCTCTGTGGATCTGTGCTCAGTTACTCTGCAAATTCCGGGCCAACAGAATTCCAATTCAAACTATGACATGAGATTTCATGTCTATTACAACACAGTCTTAATTAAATTAATTCAAATTACATGATTCCGATTCAATTTTTTTTATTTCAATAATTCAAGTTGACCGATACAAATACAAATATAAATCATTCAGATTCCGCGTTTGATGGCTCAAACTTCAGCCAATAAATCAACTACAGCACCCAGAAAGGGAGCGTGAAGCCATTGCGCACCTAAATCTTTAAATTGCTAAATTTTTGTTTGCTGCTGCAATAATGTTCTGTTCATGTTCAAAATCTGATTTATAGAACTTTTAGCAATCAAGTGATTCTTTAGAATTTAAATCTGTAAAATAAAGCCATTGTTATTTTTGCAGCCACAATTCAAATCGCCTAATTGCCTTTTTACCGATTGTCAAAAACGCCCCAAAATTTAAAACAGAAGAAAAATCAACTCGCAAATATCCCCACTGAGAGTCTGGAATCTGTGAACTATTGACGTATAGAGGCCATATAATAAAGCAACAACCAACTGCCTAAAACATGATCAAGTTGACTAATACAGATGGTCTTGTCAGTACCCTTACCTATATTTCTTTTGCTTATTTGATTTGTTATTAAACTGATATATATATATATACATATATATTAACAAAACAAAAAAACATTACATGACACTGTATGTGTACACAAAATTAGCAGATGTATGCACCATATGTGTAACTGTGGAAAAACGGTTGCACACATAAAACCACTGTGACATCAGGTAACTCCCTTTTTTTTTTTCAAACATTGGCCCTCAGTTGCTTCAGCTGGATAAGAAAATACATTTAAAAAGGTGCAAGGACTTTTAGAAAATGATGGTTGAAAAACGCTTGAGATGCTTCATCTGCTCTGTCCGCACTTCCCCAAAAAACAGCAGAAGCAGTGCAGACCACACTGATACCCATGAGCATGCGTGTTAGTGGACTGTGATTAGTGATTTCTTTGCTGGCCTATTTGACTTTGGTCTCTGGAGTGCTTCTTATACATGTTTCTATGGTTCATGAATAAAAGCAGCTATACACTGAAAACAGCAACAGAGACCTCAGACAAGACGCTTCCTAAACACTGCATTAGGGACAGCATAGCGATGCATTGAGCCTCGGTTCTTGGTGTTATGGGTTCCACTAGATTTTGCAAACCTTCTACTGAGAACCTACTCAATGTTGGCATGATTGCATCGCACAATTTTTGGAGACCAATTCGCTGCACATTCTACCACATCCCAAAGGCGTTCCACTGCATCCAGACCTGGTGACTGGTGAGGTGACTGACAACTACTGAAGTCACCGTCATGTTCATACCACAAGTTAGAAAAGACTTTGCTTTGTAACAGGGTGCATTATTATGCAAAGAGATGATAGATTCATTCATTCAGACGCTGAGCCGACCATGTGCTCCTTCAGCTAAGATGACCAGCAAGAACCATGCCATTGTCAAAATGACTGAAATACCAATTTTCCCCCATTATGATGTTTATTTCAAATATTAACTGAAGATGTCGCCACATGACTGGATGATTGGGTAAATGCCTGCATAAGCACTATGCATGACTATTTAAATCCTTTAGTTTCAAAACGTATTTTCCGCCTGCTGCTCTGGTCTCACTCAACAATATCGGGACAAGTGTTATTTTGAATTGAACTCATGTGATCTGGATTATAAATATTCATTTCACAGGGATACGAGGCACCCAATGCACTAAAACACATATCTGCAGAATTTTTAAAAAATGTTTTCAATTCTACTGCTTATGTAGAGGAAGGTATGGTATATATGTTTCCCCCATATCATCTATTTAAGTGTTGTGAAGGCGGACACAGACAGCAGGCAGTGCATGACTATGGCGACCACGTCATAGAGGAGCAGCAGTAGTGTCACACTCCAGGAATAGGCCTGCCGAGACAAGAAAACACAAAACAGACTTAAAAACAATGGGCTGACTGAAGTTGCATTATTAACATTAATGCAAAGCCGCTTTTCCCCAAATCTATTAATCATTGTGACGGTTTGATAAGCTACTATAGATTTCGTCTGTCTGATTTTGCATGAATGGCAAATATGCTTACATGGCTCTCTGCGACACAGTAGGCTTCATGAGGAGCATTAACAGAAAAACGACATGTCTGAGTGACAGAACGCCGTCACTTTAACGGATTGATGGAATCAGCAACGTTTCAGATGCCACGTCTGAAAAGGGCATAAAACTCCTCTTATTTTCCTTTTCCTATCTAATGATAAGGGGTGCTGCTCATGCTGGCTGACCCGACAGTTCTCCCTCCTGTCTCCCCGTTATTGGTCATTGTCTTTTTATGTTTCTCGGACGGGATGTAACTGTAAACACAATTTCCCTGAGGTACCCTACCAAAGGGATCAGTAAGTTTATCTAATCTAAATCTAACCTAGCTAAAACTATTTTCTTCATTCCATGTTGATCGTTTTTTTGATTTTGAGACAAGGAAATAAAAGACAGAGAAAGCAAAGAAAGTCAAGAAACATAAAAAAACAGACGAAAGTTGAAGATGAAAAGAACCGAAAAGTAAAGTAAACATAAAGAGAAGTTTTGGTGACACTGACTGCTAGATGTTGAGGGGGACACTGGTAATATGACGGGTAATAGTGGTCATCAGGAAGGGACGAACACAGGTCTTGACTGTGTAGACTGCTGAGGCTGTAGCAGTAGAGGCAGAAGGCGAGCAGCGCCCCCAGCAGACCAACCACGTTACTGCAGGCACAACCTTGAAGCTGTGGAGAAGTCGGTCAACATTCATCACTGTGACACACTTTTACTGACTTGGTTCCAAGTAAAGTAACATTACTGTTGGCTGTCTTTTGCCTTAAGCTGACAATCATGAGTTATTAATAAGTTATGAAGTAATATTTTGAAGGAGCAGACACTGTAGCATTAAAAACCCTCAATATTGCAAGAAGTAAGCTTTGAGACTAAACATATGTTGTTATAATAATGGAAATACACTCGATACCTCAGGTGTCAGGTTGATCAAACTCCAACATAAACCTTTAGATTAGCTTGTTTTATTTTATTTACCAGTAGTTTGCTAGGGTTCCTCTCATTGGCCATCGTGATGGATCCTCCTGCCACAATCTGCAACACAAACAAACAGACACACAGTGGTGGACTAAACAGAGGTCGAATGCTACCTTTATCAATGACACAAAACACACATGTCTGATATGACATGTAATATAGTTTCCATGCATGTACTGCTTTTGTGTGATTCAAATAATCTCATATGTTAAGATCAGTATTAGATGACTA